TACCTTTTTTTCAACAACATAAATGGTGACTCTGCACATGGACCTCACCAGGTGGAAGACACAGGAATCAAACAGACTACATCTGTGGGAAGAGACGATGGAAACACTCAACATCATCAGCCAAAACAAGGTCAGGGCCGACTGTGGGACAGACCATCAATTGCTTTATATACAAGTTAAGGCTGAAGCTGAAGAAAATTAAAACCAGCCCATGTGAGCCAAAATATGACTTTGACCTGAATTTATATACCATCTCAAGAACAGATGTGGTCCATTCCACTCTAATGACTGAAGACCAGAGGAATTGTGGGATGACATCAAGCACATCACACAGGAAGAAAGCCAAAGGTCATTAAAAGGACAGAAAAGAAAGAAAAGACCAAAATGGATGTCAGAAGAGACTCTGAAACGTGGTCATCAGTGTAGCTACAAGAAACTTGAAGAAATGATGAAGTAAAAGATCTGAACAGAAGATTTCAAAGGGCAGCTTGAGAAGACAATATAATGAAATGTGAAAAGACCTAATGTTAGAAAATGAAAGGGGAAGACAGACCCAGTATTTCTAAAACTGAGAGAACTGGAGAAAAAGTCAAGGGGTCATTATGAATTACAATAGTGCAAGATTCTAAAGTGAAGGATTCTATGGACAAAAATATTGAAAGAAGCAAGACGGTATCAACAGTAGATGGAAGGAATACATACAGTCAAGATATTAAAAGAATGAGCTGATGTGCAGCCATTTCACATGGTTCTGTGTGATCAAGAACCCAGTAATATTAAGGGAAGAGGTCCAAGCTGCACTGAAGGCATTGGCAAAAAACCAGGATCCAGGAATGATGGTACAAATTGACGTGGGTCAGCTGATGAACACTGTTGTTACTGCTAAGTGCCATTGAGTCGATTCCGACCCATAGTGACCCTGTATAGGGTTTCCAAGGAACAGCTGGTGAGCTTGAAACACTGACCTTTGCAATTCAAACGACTTTGCAGTCTGATACATTAGCCCACAGTGCCATGATGAACACTGGAGGTGCTAAATTGTCTATGACAAGGAATTTGAAAGACAGCCACCTAGCCACCTGATTGGAAGAGATCCATATTTGTGCCCATTCCAAAAGAGGTGACCCAACAGAAGGCTGAAGTGAGAGAGCATCGCTAATATGCAAGTAAAATTTCACTGAAGAGAGCTCAAAAACGACTGCACCAGATATTCAAGCTGGATTCAGAAGATGGGGAACTAGGGATACTGCTGCCATCCAGCTGGATCTTGGCTGAAAGTAGACTATTAGAAAGAACAGTATTCGTTGTTTCTGTTAAGTGCAGTCAAGCCAGTTCCGACTCAAAGCGACTCTGTATGGGTTTTCCAAGGAGAGCTGATGAGTTTGAACCTCTGACCTTGATCATACAGCACCATCCCAGGACTTTAACTTGTGTTTTATTGGCTATGCAAAAACATTCGATTGTGTGGATCATAACAAACTCTGGACAACATTGTGAAGAGTGGGTATTCCAGAACACTTAATTACGCTCGTGAGGAACCTGTACATAGACCAAAAGTCAGTCATGTGGACAGAACAAGGGCATCCAGACTGGCTTAAAATAAGGAAGGCGTACTTATTCAATCTGTGTGCTGAGCAAATAATCTGAGAAACTGGATTATACGAAGAAGAATGTGGCATCAGGATTGGAGGAAGACTCATTAAGAACCTATGATTTGCAGATGACACAACCTTGAAGTGAAGAGGACTTGAAACACTTATAAATATTGATGACCACAGCCTTCGGTATGGATTGTACCTCAAAGTAAAGAAATCTGCTGCAAAAGACTTCTTTCAAGTGTTAAAGAGCCAAGATGTCACTTTGAGAACTGACATGCACCTGACCCATAAGCATGTGGAATCCTGCTGCACTGTAGGATAAGCATTGCACTAATGGCTACAAGGCTGCGGATTCAAACCCACCAGTTGCTCCCTGGAAACCCTGCACGGACTCTGAGTTGAAACAGACTTGACAGTACTTAAGAACAGCAATGACATATGCGTGTGAAAGGTGGACGATGAATAAGGAAGACCAGGGAAGGACTGATATGCTTGAATGTGGTATTGGAGAAGAATATCCAAATTGAACAAACCAATCTATCTTGGAAGAAGTATAACCAAGATGTTCCTTAGATGCGAGGATGGCGAGACTTGGACCGTGTTATCAGGAGTGACCAGTCCCTGCAGAAGGACATCATGCTTGGTAAATTGGAGGGTCATTGGAAAAGAGGAAGACCCTCTCCACCCCAACCTGATGGACTGACACAAAGGCTGCAAAGTGGTCTCAAACGTCACAATTGTGAGATGGTGCAGGACCGGCAGCCATCGTGCGTGTTGGAACCTACTTAGCAGAACTGAAAACAAGCAACAGACATGTATACGTGCCCATGTGTGTGCATGCATGTATGTGTGTTCTTGTTTATTAGGTACCATCAAGTCAGTTCCAACTCATAGTGACACCATGCACTACAGAATGAAACACTGAGGGTTCTTTACCCTCCTCACTTTGTTACAGTTGAGCCCAGTCTATCCGTCTTATTGGGGGTCTTCCTCTTTTCCTCGGACCCTCCACTTTATGTCCTTCTCCAGGCACTGATCCCTCCTGATAACATGTCCAAAGTAGGAGAGACAAGTCTGGCCACCTTGCCAATCTCACTGTATTTCTTTCAACAAACATTGGTTTGTTCTTCTGGCAGTCCATGGTACTTTCAACATTCTCCATCACCAGAACTCAAATGCATCAATTCTTCTACAGTCTTCCTTATTCATTGTCCAACTTTTACATACATATGAGGCTATTGAAAATACTATGGCCTGGGTCAGGCACACCTTAGTCGCCAAACTGACATCTTTGCACTTGAGAACACTTTAAAGGGTCTCATGCAGCAGATTTGCCTAATGCAATACATCATTCGATTTCTTGACTGCTGCTTCCATGAGTGTTGATTGTGGATCCAAGGAAAATGAAGTCTTTGACAACTTCCATCTTTTCTTCATTTATCATGATGCTATTTAGTTTTAAGGATCATCATTCTGACTGTAGAATTTATTTTAATCAACTTTTAGAAAAGACAAAGACATCATTTTTCAACATAATCCCTTTGATTTTCAATACTCTTTGTTCATCAGTCAATAAGTTTTCGGTTTCCCTTATTAAAAAAATGTTTTAGGGCTGAGCTGTAGGCCACGAGGGCACCGCTTTCTTCACTTCACCAGAGGTGAATCTTCATCCTCGAAGGGCAGCTTTCAGGGGACCAAACAAGTTAAAGTCCGATGAAGCAAGATCAGGACTGTAGGGAGGATGTTTTGACACCTCAAAATGAAGTTTTTGGAAAGTGCCAACAGTGTGGACAGAGGTATGCGGATGTGCATTGTCGTACAAGATCACAAGGCCCTTGGATAGCAGTCCTCTGCGTTTGATCCAAAGTTTAGGCATCTCCAGTGAGCCTTTTCTGGATAATGTTCCAATACAGGTCCTTGAGAATCCCAGAAAACTGTAAGCATCAACTTTCCAGCTGACGGTTGATGCTTTAACTTTTTCTTGGTCTGTTTCCTGAGAGTGAACAACAGAGTATGGGATGGAAACCTCCTCCGACTCTGGATGTGGACTCCTACTGAGGCACTGGACTGTCAGCCACAAGGCTGGCAGTTCAAACCCACCACCTGCTCCTTGGAAGCCCTATATAGAGTTGCTATGAGTCAGAACCTACTCGACAGTACTTAACAGTAACAACAATGTATATACGTGCTTGTATAGTAATATGTAAATACATATATTTACACATTTGTGTGTTTACATGTATATGTGTGTGCATGCATGCATGTGTGTGCAGTGGAGCCCTGTCAGTACTCTCCTCCCTCGCCCTGCAGTCCACCAGACCTGAGTGGACTCTCTGTGTACAGAGATGCATCGGACACAGACCAAGTTTGAGGACGCCTTCACTCTGAAAGTATTCATCTTCCAGTTTGTCAACTTCTACTCGTCTCCCATCTACATCGCCTTCTTCAAGGGCAGGTCTGTGGCACTTCCTTCTCCACCTGGCTCCAGGGATGGGGATGGTGGTGGGCAGAAGGGGATTGGACAGGACACAAGGCCAGGCTGGGCTCTCTGGCTACCCCTTTTGCATACCAGAGCATGTGGTTTCCACTTGTCAGGTGGCCACAGGTTGGGGAAGGCTGGGTGGGCTGTGAGGAGGAGATCCGGTGAGATCCCGTCTCAGGATCACAATTTCCCTGCAGGTTTGTGGGTTACCCAGGCAACTACCACACCTTGTTCGGGGTCCGAAATGAGGAGGTGAGTGTGCTCAGGGCACCCACACAAACCATAGGATACGCCTTCTACCCTTGAGCCCAGAACCCCTAAAGACAGCTGTCTACAGTTTCCCCATGCCAACACGAATGTGCCCATGCCACGGTAATAAACCGCCAGATAGTGAGTGCTCAGCCAGGGCCCACTCCCACCAGATGGCCGGGCCCACTGTCCACACAGAGGAAGGACTGTAGAAGCCAGGGGTGAGCCTGTGTTTACAACATGCCGGGGGCTTAGGGGAGAAGGAAGTACTTGTCATATTAGAGGGCTGACGTGCACAGATGATCAGGAAGTGGGTGGCGGACAGCTGGGGGCCTTCAGAGAGGGGTCAGCTGGCAGATGGCCTGAGACAAGGCAGTGCACACCTCTCCAGGCTGAGGGGCACGCAGCTTGGCTGAGGGCTGGGCCTGGGACACTAACTTGACTGAGGGCTGGGCCTGGGACGAAGGGGCTCTAACACACCTCACCTAGCTGACCCTGGGCTCCTTTCTGGTGAGGATGTGGGGACAGAAATGTCCCACAGGGTCTGGCTGTGACCCAGCCCACAGAGGGAGGCACTTCCAGGGCCTGGGAGAGCAGAGTTTTCAGTTACAGGGAAAAGTTCCTGACTCAAACTGGCTTTTGCAAAAAAGGGGAACTTGTTGGCTTAGGTGCTGAGAGAGTAAGATGTGGGCTTCAGGTTTGGCTGGAGGCAGGCGTTTGAATGACACTGAGATCTCCCCCCAGCTCTGGCCCTGTTCTCCCTGATGCCCTTGGGTGCGTACCCGCACACCCACGTTACTTATCCTCTGGCTAAGGCCCTGGCCACTGGTCAGTAGTTGAGGCTGGACCATAGTCCAGTGCCTGGACTCCCCAGAGCCTAGGGTAGCCCCACATAACCCTATGTCCCCAAGGACAGCTGGCTCACTAGGCAGTGTTCCTGGGGTTGTTGGCACACATGGTTGACCGGCTGGACAAGGGGCTTAGACAGAAGTCTCTGAGGCTCACCCAGCTGGAGGTGGGGAGGATGTGGATTAGAGGGCTGGTCTTCCCAGAGCTGACCAGATGTCGTGCTGCTGCAGTGTGCGGCTGGAGGCTGCCTCATCGAGCTGGCCCAGGAACTCCTGGTCATCATGGTGGGCAAACAGCTCATCAACAACGCACAGGAGATCTTCCTCCCGTGAGTCCCCGCGCCCAGCCAGTGTGGAGGGACCTGGGAGCCCAGGCCAGCTGGAAGGGGGACTCAGGATGGCAGAAGTTGGGGGGGGTCTTCCCAGCCACCTCCCCTCCTTGGGCTCTGCAATGCCCCACCCCCTGGGGTCTTGTAAGGGAGTCAAGTGGTGCCCGAATTCTTTAGGCCTCTTGGGGTGGGGGTACCTGGAGGCCCTGAGCACACAGCTAGGCGAAGGCCCCACCTCCCCTGCCCCTACCTCTGCCATCCCATCTTCTCCCTAACCTTCGAGGCTCACTAGAGGGAGGAGCTGGGGGGGCCACAGGAATGTCTAGTGACATCTAAGAAGCCCGTCCTGCATGTGCTCCAGGACATCTGCACCGAAGTCCTCACCCCCTTTTGCCATCCCCCAAGGAATGCACCCCCAAGAGTGCGTGCCAGGCCGGTGTTGAGATAGCACTGCAGGGGCCCCCATGCCCCACAAAGAACTCACAGCATCTGCCCCTCCTGAAGCCAGCTCTCCCTCAGCCTCCCTTGAGCATGTCCCTGCCCAGCTGGACCAGCAGGGGACACTCTCCTGTCTTGTCCCCTCTCCAGGAAGCTACAAGGCTGGTGGCAGAGGTTCCGGCTCCGTTCTAAGAAGAGGAAGGCGGAGGTGTCTGGGGTGTCTGACCAGGCCCCGTGGGAGGCAGACTACACCCTTCTGCCCTGTGAGGGTCTGTTTGAGGAATACCTGGAAATGGGTAGGAACCAGATGGGGGGAGGGGGCCGTGACCACTCGTGGTCCCAGCCTGAGTGATCCTGTGAAGATTAACTTGGACCCTTTAGGTCTCTGGGGGTGGGGGCGGGGGTGGGGGCAGAGGATCCTGCTGGAACCAGGCTTGCCCAGAAATGGGAAGGAAGGAGATTGGGACAGGGGAGACAAAGAGAGCTTGGCCAAGAATGGGAGAAAGCAGTGCCCTGGACAGAGGTTCTGATGGGGTTCCCTTGAAGTGACCTGAATCCCTTCAACACAGAAAGTGTGGCTGTAGCCTCTGTGTGAAGGGAGGAGAGAGACAGGGTAGTTGGGTGAGCAGGTCAGGGAGCGGGGAGTCTCTGAGAGGCGCAGTATCTGTGAGCTGATTTTGTCCAGAAATGCCCATGGTGCCCACACTGGACCTTCCGGGAGGTGGACCTCTGAGACGTCTTCCTTGCATGGCTTGTGTGCTTTCTGAAGGCACAGTCTTTGCCTTGTGTGGGCGTTTGTCCACGTAGCTCAGGGTCTAAGTGCACAATTTGGAGCTCCCCAGCAGCCAAGGCAAAAAGGGGAGCTAGCAGTGGGGAACCCCTATAGCTAAAAGGAAGGAAGGGCCGTAGGGTGTTCAGGAGAGGGGCTTTTGTGAGTCAAGCTGTAAGCAGGCTGGACGCTGTGGATCCCAACTCCCCCGGACAAGGGATGATGGGGTGTGTTGCTCTCACTGGTCACTGCACAGAGGATGTCCTGTGGCCATGTCCTAATGCCCCCAGAGGAGGGGATAAGAAGCAGGGTCTCGTCCCACTCCAGCCTTGTGTCCACTGGGTAGGGCCCTGTTAGGGGTTGTGGAACCTGGGGGTGCGTCCAGTCAGAAGCTTGGTTGGGTGGGCAGTCCCAACTCTGGCTGAGCACAGAAAAGAGGTGAAGCCAGAGTCAGGAAGGCTGCCTGGGGGAGGCGACCCTGGAGCAGAGCCCCGTTGTTTGTGAGGAAGAGCAGGATCGGGTTGTAGAGGGAAGCTGACCCTCCCAGAAACTGCTCTGTGTGGGCGCTACGGAAGTGGGACAGATGTGCACAGACCGGGATGTCCGGGGGCTTCGGGGTGCCACGCTGGCGATGACCCGGCGGTGCCCGCGCCCGCAGTACTGCAGTTCGGCTTCATCACCATCTTCGTGGCCGCCTGCCCGCTGGCGCCGCTCTTCGCGCTGCTCAACAACTGGGTGGAGATCCGCCTGGACGCGCGCAAGTTCGTCTGCGAGCGTCGGCGCCCCGTGGCCGAGCGCGCCCAGGACATCGGCATCTGGTTCCACATCCTGACCGGCATCACGCACCTGGCGGTCATAAGCAACGTGCGGCCCCAAGGGGCGGGAAGGGGGCGGAGCGCGGAGCTGCAAGCGGCTGGCCTGCGGGTTGGAGACTGGACACTTGGGTCTCTGGGGGCGTCGGGAGGCTTGGGGCGCGGGGTGGGGAAAGGCATGGCCAGGAAGAGAAAGGGAGCTGGGGTTCCTGAGAATCCATGGGGCTGTAACTTGGAGGTGCGGCGGGCGTGCGGGGACCTGCTCCCCAGCGTCGGACCTCCTCCCCGCCAGGCCTTTCTGCTGGCGTTCACGTCCGACTTCCTGCCGCGCGCCTACTACCAGTGGAGCGGCCCCGGCGACCTGCGCGGCTTCCTCAACTTCACCCTGGCGCACGCCCCTCCCGCCTTCGCCGCCGCGCACAACCGCACCTGCCGGTGAGTCCGACGGCGGGGGCAGCGGCCAGCGGGCGAGGTTTCCAACCCGAGGAGGCCAGACAGGTTCCCGTGAGGCGGTGACCCTGAGGGAGAGGAAGGTGCGGGCCAGGGAGCCTTCTGCCTTGGTTACCGCACACGTTTTCAAACACAATTCTACAGTCGGCCGGCTCTAGGGTTCTGAGCATGCAGCTAGATGGATGCGATTACAATCCAGTCCTTTCATGGGTTTTATTTCCGTATTCTATTTCTTAAATGGACATCTGAGTAATGTTTAGTTTAACGACCCGTGAGGACAGATGGCCTTCCATTTACTTAGCTCTTTCTTTCTTTCTGGGATGTATTATACTCTCCAGTATAGAAGTCTTTCACGTCCTTGGTTGAATGGATTCTTTTAGATGCGATTGTACATGGAATTACAGGTTCCTTAATTTCCTTGACTGACTTTTTAGTTTGGACCTTGTATCCTGTCCTGTATTTATCAAATTTGTTTATTAGCACCAGTAGCTTGTGGGTTCTTTGGGGTTGCCTAAACACAGAATCATGTTGTGAAGTGCTATGGAGTCTTCCTCCAATCCTGAAGCCCCATTCTTCTTCATACAATCCCACTCCTCAGATTATTTGCTCAGTGTAGGGATGGGATGTTGTTGTTAGGTGTCATCGAGTTCTTTAGAGATTGTGTACAACAGAACAAAACACCGCCCAGCCCTGCACCAGCCTCACAATTACTGCTACACTTGAGCCCATTGTAGCTGCCACTGCCAACCCATCTTGGTGGGGGTCTCCCTCTTCTTCGCTGTCCCTCCTGATAACATGACCAAAGTATGCAGGCCGAACTCTGGCAAACTACCAGCTGTTCCACGGGAGAAAGATGAGGCTTTCTGCTCCCATGAAGATTTACAGCCTTAGAAACTCTGTACAGGGTCGCTATAGGTCAGAACCGACTCCACGGTACTTAACAATCCTTAATATGCTTCACCAACACCCTAATTCAAATGCATTCATTCTTCTATTTGTTGTTGTTGTTAAGTGCCATTGAGTCGGTTCCGACCCACAGTGACACTGTAGAAGGTTTCCAAGGAGCGACTGGTGAGCTTGAACCACCAACCTTGCAGTTCAAAGTGACTTTGCAGTCTAGTGCATTAACCCACAGTGCCACCCAGGACTCTTCCTTAATCACGGTCCAACTTTCACGTGCATGTGAGGCTACTGAAAATACAATGCCTTGGGTCAGATGCACGTCTGTCCCCAAATTGACATCTTTGTTCTTGAACACTTTGAAGAGGTCTTGTGCAGCAGATTTGCTTAATGCAATACGGCCTTTGATTTATTGACCATGAGAGTTGATTGGGAATCCAAGCAAAATGAAGTCTTTGACAACTTCAACCTTTTTTCCATTTATCATGTTGTTATTTATTGGTCCAGTGGTGAGGATTGTTAAGTTCTTTACACTGAGTTGATCTTCATCAATAAGTATTTTAAGGCAAGGTTGTGGCGTCTGCATATTGCTGGTTGTTAGTGAATCTTCCTCGGAGCCTGATCCCACAGTCTTCGTTTACTCAGCTTCTCGGATGATTTGCTCAGCATACAGATTGAATCAGTGTATGGGGAAAGAACACCACCCTGGCGCACACCTTTCCTGATTTTAAACCATTCAGTGTCCCTTATTCTGTTGGAACATGTACAACATGCCTGTTGGTCTATGTACAGGAATACCCACTCTTTGCAGTGTTGTCCATAGCCTGTCATGATCCACATAGTCGTAGGCAATAAAGCACAAGTTAACATCTTTCTGATAGTATCTATCTGCCTTCGACCCAAATCCATCTGAATTGATACTCCGAGTTCCACATCCTCTTCTGAATCGGGCTTGAATTTCTGACACTTCCCTGTCAATGTACTCTTGAGTTATCTTCAGAAAAAATTTACCTGCATGTGATATTAATGACATTGTTTGATGATTTCTGCATTTTGTTGTGACACCTTTCTTTAGAATGGGCACACATATGAATCTTTTCCAGTCAGTTGGCCAGGTAGCTGTCTTCCAAGTTTCCTGGCATAGAAGAGTGAGTGCCTCAGTGCTCCATCAGTTGGTTGAAAGGTTTCGGTTTGTTTTCCGTCAATTCCTGGAGCCTTATTTTAGGCCAATGCCTTCAGTACAGCTTGGACTTCATTCAGGTCCATTGATCCTTGATCATACGCTGCCTCTTAAGATGGCTGGACAGTGACCATTTCTTTTTGGTTTAGCGTCTCTGTACCCCTTCCATCTTCTTTTGGTGCTTTCTGTATCATTTGATATTTTCCCCATAGGATTCTTCCCTATTGCAAGTCGAAGCTTGAATGTTTTCTTCAGTTCCCTCAGCTTGAGAAATGCTGAGCACGCTCTTCCCTTTGGTTTTCTAAGTCTAGGTCTCTGCACAATTCATTATAAAACTTTACTCTGTTTTCTTGATCTTGTTTAGAACTTTTACTTCGTTTCTTCCATTCACTGGAGATCAAGTTTCAGAGTTTCTTCTGATATCCATTTTGGTCTTGTCTTTTCTGTTATTTTAATAAGCTTTGTTTTCTTCCCATATGATGTTCTTGATGTCATCCCACAACTCTTCTGGTCTTTGGTCATTAATGTCTAATGTATCAAACGTGTTTGTGAGATGGTTTCTAAATTCAAGTGGGACTTTGGCTCTCTTGGACTTGTTTTAATTTTCTTCAGCTTCAGCCTGAACTTGCATATTAGCAGTTGATGGTCTTTGGCTCCTGGCCTTGTTTTGGCTGATGATATGGAACTTTTCGTCAGATATGGTCAATTTTATTCCAGTGTATTCTATCTAGTGAAGTCCAAGTGTATAGTCGCCTTTTATGTTGCTTGAGGAAGGTATTTACAATGAAGAAGTCATTGGTCTTGCAAAATTCTGTCGTGTGATCTCCAGCATCAGTTTTATCACCAAGGCTGTATTTTCCAGCTACTGATCCTTCCTCTGTTTCCGACCTTTGCATTCTAATCACCAGTAATTATCAATAAATGTATCTTGATTGCATGTGTGATCAATTTCAGACTGAAGAGGTTGGTAGAATGCTTCAATTTCATACTCACTGTCTTTAGTGGTAATAGTCACTATTTTAATAATAGTGGTATAACTTGTCTTCCTTGTAGGCACAGGGATATTATTTTATCACAGACAGCATTGTAGTTCAAAACAGATCTTGAAACATTGTTTTTGATGATGAATGTAATGCTATTCCTCTTGAATTTTTCATTCCAGGCATAGTAAACTATATGATTATCAGAGTCTAAATGGCCACTACCTGTCCATTTCAGCTCACTAGTGTCTAGGATATTGATCTTTCTGCATTCCATTTCATTTTGACAACTGCCAATTTTCCTTGGTTCAGACTTCATACATTCCATGTTCTGATTATTAATGGTTGCTTGCAGCTGTTTCATTTTGAGTTGTGCTCCATCAGCAAATGAAGGTCCTGATTTACTCCATTCTTATCATCATCATCATCAGCTCCACTTGGAGGAGGTGGTGGCTCTTCCTGTCATATTTTGAGCACCTCCCAACTTGCGGGGCTCATCTTTCAGCACCATATTTCAGTGTTTTGCTGCTAATTATAAGGTTTTCAGTGGCTAAACATTCAGAAGTGGTCTGCCTTTCCTTCTTGCTATTCCTTTTTACTCAGGAAGCTCAGCCAACACCTGTCCAACATGGGTACCCTGCTGGTATTTAAAAGACTGTTGGTATAGCTTCCAGCATCACAGCGCACAAGTCACCATACTATGACACAATGACAGATGAGGGACGGAGTCCTTGATGATGAATTTTTAAAACATGAAAGTCTTGAGTAATCTTTATGTTTCTATGGGAAGAAGTGCTGGCTGTATGCTAACCACTGCGAGCTGTATGCTGGTAGTCCGTGCTAGCTCTGTGCTTACCCACTCCCTTGCAAGGACTGAGACAATTTGGGCTGGACCTCAAGCGCAGCACGTCTAGTCTTGGCTGACCTTTACCTGAGTATAACCTTTCACATCCCAGTGTGAGTTTAGGAGCCAGCCTCCAGTGATGGACTCTGGCTAAAACTAACGGCCAAACCAAGAGTGTCCAGCTCAGCCGGTCAGACCTGCCCTGAAATCAGATGACCCTGAGCTAAAAGCATGCTTCCTATCCTCTCAACACCTTTACGTTGTTCCCAGTGCCCTTAGGAGAAAGGCCGAGGTCCCTCCATGGCCGCTGTGGCTCTGGGTGATGTCCTGCCTGGCTCCCAGCACTCAGCCCTGTGGAGCCAATGTGTCTCCCTCCTCTCCCGGGCCCCCAGCTCATGCTGTCTTGCTGTCCGAGCTTTGCCTCCCCTCACTCGCCAGGAGGCCAGGGACTATGTGCGTCCACCTGGTCTTCCTGCACCCCCCTGCCCTTTGCTGCCTATGGGCAGATGTGCACCTTCGTTGTTTGGTTGTGGGGACCCCCAAGAGTGGCTGATTGTAGAAATCCTTTCACTGCAATTGCTCCCTCACCCTGGCCCCGTGTGCCCTGTATCTTTTGAAGCTACCAGGCCTTCAGGGACAACAATGGACACTATTCACGGACCTATTGGAACCTTCTTGCAATCCGCCTGGCCTTCATCATTGTGTTTGAGGTACCTCAACGCACACCGGCTGGTTCTGTGGACCTTGTTGGAGTGGAACTGGGGGTGCCACGGTCAGCATGAGATGGTCAGGGGTCACCTTACAGTCTGCACAGTCTCAGTTGCAGATCTCGGAGCTCTGGGCTCCAAACATGAGCCTCCCCTCTGTTCTTGAAACTTGCTTGCCCATGCGAGCCTGGGGACCCGGAGCCCTGGCCGCAGCAGCCCCTCGAGGCAGCTCCCGTATTGGCAGTAAGCGGGGCATGGAACAGGTGGGAGGGGCCCGTACCATCACCAGGCCTTCTCCTGCTTGTAGCATGTGGTGTTTTCCATTGGCCGCCTTCTGGACCTCCTGGTACCCGACATTCCGGAGTCTGTGGAGATCAAGGTGAAACGCGAGTACTACCTAGCTAAGCAGGCGCTGGCTGAGAATGAGGTGAGGGCCCCCCTATAGCTCCCAGAGCTGGGAGAAGCCCCTTTGTGCACCCCTCCTGTGGTGGCTGATGCCCCTTTCTCATCCTGGGGTCCTTCCTGCCCACAGGTTCTCTTTGGCACCCCTGGAGCTAAGGACGGTTCCCCAGTCTCCGAGACCCACCTGAGTCCACAGGTCTAGGTGCTACCTCCTTCTCTTACTGGGTCACAGGCAGCTATGGAGGAGAGCCCATGGCAGGCTGCCCTGCCCAGGCCTTTGGCTGCATGTCCCACTGCCCAAGTCCTGGTGATGGGCTTGTGGGGCTCCCACTGCGTCCGTACTATTCCTGATGGGCCAATGCCCTCCCTCATACACCCCCCACCAAACGCAGCTTGTGACTTTGTTCAGCAGTTCACACATCCCTACAGCTGGGGCCCCTAGAAAGCCCAAGACCCCAGCCTCAATGCCCACCTCTCCAGCTGACCTTGCCCACAGAGTAGCACAGACTCCGGGGGTGGTGGTGGTGGTGGTGGTGGGAACCTTCTTGGTACCTGCAGCATGACCAGCTAGGCCTGCGGGTTTGTGGTTAACCTCCCACCTGACACTATCCACCCTGTGTGGCCTTCAACACTGAGAACCCACTGCTGTTGACCCTGCTCTGTGCCCACCCCCCCCCAACCCCGAGCCTGGCCCAGTGGTTATCTCCCATCAAGGGTACCTCTTCCCCTGAGCACCCCTTCATCCCGTTGCCTGATACAGCATACACAGAGGGTCAAGGGGGAGTCAGTGCATTATGCAGCAAGGTGACAAATCCCGGGTTGGAATGAGGGTTTTCCAAGCTGAGTACACGTGTGACCCACCTAACTCTCATGGCTACCTTCCCGCCTCCTGCCTGTCAGCTGCCTGCTACATCTGCTCTGTACACTGAGGCAAAATAAACACCGTGACCCATTTACGTCCCTTCTACCGATTTCTTTGGGTGGAACTACACTGCCCACCCCCGCCTGACCAGCAGCACCTCCCTAGTGGGCATCATTGGGACCGGCGGTGGAGCTCTTACTTCAGCAGAGCCGGGAGGAGCAGCCGTACTCACAACCACCACAGCCTGTGTTGTCTTAGAGACCCTGTGAAGGGTGTGGCAACTAGGGAGAAACACCCCCCTTCCTGGCTCGGCTCTCCCTCCCTCCCTCCCTGAGCTGGGAGGCTGGGTGGACTGCTGGGCACCGCTCTCCCAGAATGCTGTGTGGTGACGGGGAGTCTGTGCTGTTCATGCCCTCAGCAGGGCACTGGGAAGGGGAGAGGGTCCCCCACTTAAGCCCTCCCTCCCAGCCAAGGGCTTTCTGCCTGTATGTGGGTCTCTCCTGGATGGGCTCCTGGCAGACGCCACGCTGGCACCGAGGGAACCTGGTGACCCCCGTGTCATGCCGACTGAATTGTGCCCAAGGACAGGGTCGTTCGTTCCCAGAGCACAGTAAACAAGCTTAGACACAGGTGGACAGTTTCAGGTTTATTTTAGAATTTATAAAATTCCAGTATTGTCCGTAATTGTGAGCCTTTACATGTTTGCATATAATCTCCAAATCCAAAGTTAAGGCCTAAAGGCTGGGTCACAGCCATGGTAACATACGATGTGGAAGACAGTCAGCGGGGGAGGGGGTACGGACACAGCCGCGCCCCAACCCCGCTTGACACTCCCCACAGCCAGGGGCCACAGGGAGTGGGGTGGTCACCTCACACCTTTAACAACAGAGCATGAGACCCCGGACAGCCAGCGTGCAGAGTGGATGTGAGCATTGGGATCTAACTTGGGGGGGTTGTGTGTCTAGATGCATGCAGATGGGAGGGGACACACGGCCAGTGCTGGACCTGGTCAAGAGTGCCTCCCGCCACAGCTTCCACCTGCACAGCTGGGTACCAAGCAGCTGTTTGAGCCACCTACTCAGGGAAGACAACTGAGCGCAAGGTGCTCAACAGGGTGAAGTGACTGTCCCCAGGAGAGCTGTGTGTGGACAGGTCACCTCTGGGGACAGGGAGGTGGTGGGAGGACCAGAGGGCCCAGGGAGAAAGGGTCCATCCTGAGTCCTTGCACTGTACTGCCCACGCCGCCATCTGGTCCCCCCAGGTGGGTTGGCTGAGGCCTGTAGCCCACCAAGGCCCTTAACCTGCAGATACGCGAGAAACAGCTTCTCCACCTCCTCCTGCCCCCTCCCCCCCCACCTTGTGACCCAGCTGCAGTTGGCCTGGCCCCCAGCTGACAGAAACAGGACCCTGGCCCGGCAGGTCCCCAGCGCCATGGCAGCCTGAGACCGATCAACATCAAACTGAGGGGCACATGCTGGGTGGCGGTCCTGACCTAAACTCAGACCAGTCACGCTGGCTTTGAGGTAGAAAGAAAGCAGTTGTGCATGTTGTATGTGTGTCTGGGGGAGCGCACAACGGGACTGCAGGTGGTTCAACAGAGGAAGGACCGCACGCGCCCCCCCTCAACGCCCCATGGCCACAGCTAAGCCAGTGGTGCTTAGCTTCCTACCCGTGGGCCCTCGGTGCCCACCACAGTACTTGCTGCCCTTGGTGGTGCCTGGAGTTGGTTCTTGGGGCGCCCACACATGCGCTAAGGGGGTTGTCTGGCAGTGGAGGAAAGACAGAAGGTGGGAAAGGAAGAGGGCAAACGTTTTGGCTTTTATAAAGTCGAGGAAATTTATTTCCTGAGGTCATGACACAGGAAGTGGACTCCCAGCCAGAGGTGGGGCTCTCAGAATGAAGGTCAGAGCGCTGACGGACATGCTGGGGGGCCGGGAAGCTCAGAGTCTGGTTATGGGTTATGAAATGTTCAATTACCTTGTTTAGTGTTTAAAACAGTGGAGAGCCTGTCCCAGAGCAGAGGGCGGGGCGGGTCCTGAGTGCAGGCCGCCCGTGCTGGGCGCCCTCAGCCGCCCAGGCTGCCCTGGGAGACCTCGGGCGGGGAGGGGAGCGTTGACAATTACCGGGTCCAGCCGCCGATCAGAGCGCGAGCCCGTGAGTGGGGGGGCAGGGCAGCCGGCTGGAGAGGTGTCAGCTTCCTCATCATTATCGCTTGGGGCCCCACGGGAGGGTCTTGGGAGCCACCTGAGCCCCAAAGCTGGGGAACTCCTCAGAGCTGCTCACATCCGGAGCCTGTGGAGATCAGGGTACAGTTCAGAAGGGGGAGCACCCCTCCACCTGGGAGGCACGTTTGGTCTGCAGCAGCTCCGCCCTCAGCGGCCCAGGAAAGAGGGAACATCTGACCTTCTCACTGCTGCTGGCTGTCCAGGGTGCGTCCCGCACCACAAAGCCCTTGGACGGGACCTTGGACTCCTCGTGAACTGGGGGCTTCATGTACACCTGCAGTGCCTCGTTGTCCACAACATCAGCCAGCTGGGGGGACACGGGGCTGTCAGGCTGCACCCTCACCCCCACCTTACAAGGATCCAAGCCCCCCGGTCTGGACTCACATATTCCTCCTCCAAGTTGAGGATGTGGTCGATGGCCCCCTCCACGTTTTCTGGGAGGCCTGTCACGGTGACGCAGTTGGGGTCTGGGGCCCCACTCTGTGGGAAGCGGATGTCCACCTGGAAGGGCATCGTAGCCAAGGGTGGATGTGAGTGACTGGGAGATGGCCAGGCAGCACTTTCTCTTTGCTGCCCCCACCCCCACTCCTGAGCACCTCCCCAGCAGAGACACACCTTGAACTCATCCATGACCTTGCGTATAGCCTTGCCTCGTGCGCCAATGATGCGGGCGTGGACGCGGTGGTCCAGTGGGACATCCTCAGAGACCATCTGCTCGAGCTCACCCACGATCTTCAGGATGGCGTCACGGGCCGCCTCTGTGTTCTTCTCATAACCCGTGATGGTGATCTGTTCCTGAGGCTGCACAGGGGAGCGCAGGTGACCTGGGTGCACAAGGGCACCTGCGTCTCCACACGACTCCCCACAGGACGGCAACAAGCAACACCCATGGACACCGACGTGGCTGGCGTGAAGCACTTGCCAACAGTGGTGCCAGGAGGTTGCAGCTGAAAGGACACAGCTGGATTCTGGCTGCCCGGGGGTGAATCTGTCCAGGGCGGGTGGACAGGGCCCTCACCTGGCTGTCATCCTTGTCGGGAAACTGGATGTTCACATCATGCTCCAGGCGAATCTGTGTGATCACAGCCCCCTTCCGACCGATGATCTTGGGGTGGTATTTGGGGTCCACAGTGACACTCAGCTTAAAACTCCTCAAGGCCTAGAACAGAGTTCCCCATGAAGCTGACAAGTAACCGGCAGCCCACAGGCTGGTTCCCGCCCCCCCACAGAGGGACACGGGGTTTCCTGATGGTAGCCACAGCTGAAGGGACAGGGCGACCACGTGGCAGGACGCAGAGCGGTCCTCTCGTGAGCAGTGCTGGACCCACCCGCTCCTCCTGCTCAGCCTGCAGCTCCCGCACGCGCTCCAGCAGCCCGGCCTTGGCTCGGTCCAGGTTGGCGGCCAGACCAGTGATGGCGATGACGTCGGACTGGAGCTCCGGGGCTGGGACTTGTATGTTCACCTGCACAGGAGACAGGAGCCCACCTGGCTTAGCTGTGCAGGGCTCGGGCACGTGGGACATCTCCCCCACATAGGGGGCCACGAGAACAGTCATACCAAGGGCAGCGAGAGTCCACACACATTCCTGCCCACCCCACCCCACTCCACTCCACCCCATAGCACCTCAAACTCATCCATCATCTTGCGGATCCCACTTCCTTTCTGCCCGATGATGTACCGGTGCAGGTCAAAGGGCACCTCTACTTCAATAGTGACAGGAACCAGAGCCTAGAAAAGGGACAGCCAGGGTCCAGCTGCATAAGCGGAAGCAGAGAGGGCCTGGGGCCATGAAGGCCTTCACAGAGTGTGTGCCAAAGTGGAACTGAAAGCAATGGGATGTTGCCAGGGTATCTGCGAAGCCCCTCATGTGTGTGGCAAGGGAAGGAAGGCTCGGGGGGTCATGGCCCAGCCGGCCTGCTCTTTGCCCAGCACCACCAGCAGACTCAGCTCGGGTTTTCTCAGGGCCCGACCCCCGACCGCTTTCTTATCTGTGGTGGTGCACCAGTTATGACAGCACCCAACACAAACCAGGCAGCTCACAGTGAGTGGCAGGCAGGTGGGTTACCCACTTCCCAGGGGGAACAGGAGGTGAGGGGTGGGAGACAGGAAGTGCAAGTCTCAAAGGAAATGAACGGACGTTGGGCGCTGGGCCGTGGGTGCCCCACCTCCAGGGCCTCCTTGGCGGCCTCACACTTCTCTTTGCGGCCAGAGATGGTGATGATGTCACAGCGCCGTGGAGATCCGGGGTCTGTCTCTTTGGCGTCTCTGCCCTCCGCCGTCTCCTCCCCATTCTCCTGCATGGTCAGCTCTACACTGTGAACTGGGGGTGGGGGGGGTGGGGAGGGCAAGAGGACGCTGTGGGGACCAGCACCCTCCATTCAGCGCTCAGACCCAGTGACAGGACAGGGGCCAGCCTCTACAGGGGACTCGGTAGACATAGAGGAGTCTGTGGAGAGGGCCCCAGGACGGCAGTTGGTGGTGCCCTGTGTGATGTGAGAAATGCCCACCACAGAGAGTGGGATGTGATGTCTGCTGAAGGCCTGCCCGTCCATGATCCAGAAAGCCTCCTGCCAAGGAGCAGGAAGCCTAGGGCAGGTGATGAGTCTGGGCTGTACACATGCTTTCTGTCTCCGAGCCCTAAGTGGGAACTTTTACCCAGATGAAATGGGAAAAACCGCTCCAGCGTGAGGCCTGACCAAGGTGCCGTGTGCACTCATACGGCAGGCAGGCCAGTTGACCAGGCTATGTACTCAGTCAGCCACGGCACATCCCACGAGCCGGGGACCCTAAAGGCCACCAGCTAGGACACACAGATGGACAGACAGAACCCACAGAATTCCAAATGTGGGACCTCCCACCTTCAGCAACAAACTGACCTTAGCCCAGAAATGACAGAGGGGTGGGAGAAAGCTGCTGGGAATGGGACCATGAGCCTGGTACCAACATGCTCGGGGCTCCAGCTCTGCAGCGGAGTAGTCCCCGGCCCACATCTGGACACATGTCAGCTGGGTCTCTGGACCTGTACCAACTCCAAGGAAGGGTAGTGCGGGGCTCACCTGGGTTCTCCTCTCTGTCGGGGAACTTAATCTGAACGCCGTGATCCCGGGTGATCTGCTGGATCCGGGTACCCTTGGGGCCCATGACAGAGCGGTGAAACCGCTGGGGAATGGCGCATTCCAGGGTCACCTGAGCTTCCTGGAGGACAGAGAAAGGACACAGCCAAGGGCACACACTTTAGGGTCCACACGCAGTGTACCACCAAGCCCTCTCAAGACACCCTGTTTTCAAGGAGCAAGGGAGGCAGGCCATGAGGAGAACCTAACTCTGAAACACCCCCACAGGCGGCGGGACCCGCAGGGCTGACTTACCAGGTCCTCAATGATCTCCTGGATGCGCTTCTTGGCGGCCTCCACACAGTCCTTAGCGCCCTTGAGGGTGACCTTGTCACTCTGAGTGCCGGACCGTGGGAAGCTAACCATCACCCCACCGTACTCCTCTGCAATCTCCCTCAGGACCTGGCCCCTCCGGATAACGAAATGGCGGTGATGCTTGGGGTCCACCAGCATGGTGTCCTCCACCACATTGTCCTGTGTCAACAGAATGGAGGGTAAGGGCCTGGCCCAGCGCCCGGGGTAACAGGGGCCGGGGCTCCAGGGCCTACCAGGTTCTGGATCAGAGCCTCCAGCTCCCTCTGGGCCTCCCGGACGGCATCCTCCTTCCCGATGATGGTGATCAGGTCCTGGTCCTTGTCCTCGGCCGTGGGAAAGATGATGCGGGCACCTGTGCTGTCACGCACCTTGCGGATCTTTCCGCCGCCCTTGCCAATGAGGAATTTGTGGTACTCCGGCTTGGCGCGAATGTCAACTGTGAAGCTCTTGGTTTGCTACGGAAGGTCCAAAGAGACCACCCTAAAGCCAGCCTGCAAGGACCCTCCTCACATGGACTAGGAGTGGACCACAGCATGGTGCCCTCCACACAAACTCAGACGCCAAGAAGCTCGAGCTCTTCCTGATGCATCTGCTGGGCCACGGCCCTAGTCCCTCTACCCCCAGGTCCCTGCTTTTCTGGGTCTCTGAGCACTAACCCAGCCAGCACCAGGAAGAGCAAGAGCCCAGGCCCAGCGAGCCTCTGGACAATGATGGTCCTCTGGTCAAGAATGTTGGGGCACCCGAGCGTACAGAGCACCCCAGACCCTCCACATACAGAGCAGGGAGAGCCCGTGTGCACTGAGCACCCCTCCCCCCTCCACACACACAGGGAGACGGGAAATGCTGAGCCTGCACCCACGTGTCATATACTGCTCAGCCACAAAGCAGCGTATTTTCTCAGAAAACACAACACGAGTATTGACCGTGTCAGACCAAGTCTGGCAGGTCCAGTAACATGGCAACAACAATGTCCACAATCAAGTGGACACTCGAACTCTGACACGCCAGGTGAGTTCAACATGAAACAAAACAAAGTGAACTCATCCTAAGAAGACAAACTCCAAAGAAGCACCGTTTTCATCTCAACAGACAAAATTCAACACCCATCCAGAAACCCAACTCAGCCTCAACCCAGTGAAGCGCCCCCACTGGAGACCTGACGTGCATGTCCTGCCAACGGGCGAGAGGCCTTCCCACCGCTGCACACCCTGAACCCACAAGGAGGCAGGGAAAAGCAGGAGAGCAGCATGGACACCAACCAGCTAGTCACATAGTACTCGACCATGTCTTCAGAGACAGTTCACAGGAACCAACCAAAAACCTACCAGAACGTAGTAAGGGAGCTGCTTTGTGTTTACATGGCCTTGAATCAGCCCAGACTCACAGCAACCATGTATAGGGTTTGAACCTCCAACCTTGTGGTTACCAGTCCAGTGATAATGCTACAGCGCCACACCAGGACTCCACCACACACAAGTGTTGTAAGGGCTATTGAGTTAGCAGCAACTCATAGCGACTGTATGTACAACACAACGGAGCACTGCCCTTCCCCCAGCCAAGCTCACATTCGTTGCTAAGCCTGAACTCATCGCTGCTGCCACGGTGCCGAAATCATCTTGTGAAGTGGGTCTTCCGCTTTTCTTCCAACCCCCCCACTTTACCAAGCATGCTATCCTTCTCCAGCAACTGGTCCCTCTTGACAATATGTCCAAAGTACAAGAGACGAAGTTTGGCCATCCTGCCCTCCAACAAGCACTCTGGCTGTACTTTTTCCAACACAGATCTATTGGTTCGTTTGGCAGCCCATGGCACTTTCAATATACTCCTCCAACACCATAACTCAAATGCATCAATTCTTCTACGGTCTTCCTTATTCACTGTCCAGCTTTCGCATGCATATGAGGTTATTGAAAATACCATGGCTTGGGTCAGGCACACCTTAGTCCTCAAACTGACATCTTTGCTCTTGAACACTTTAAAAAGGTCTTGTGCAGATTTGCCTAATGCAATACATCCTTTGATTTCTTGACTGCTGCTTCCATGAGTGTTGATGGTTGATCAGAGCAAAACAAAGTCCATGACAACTTCAATCTTTTCTCTGTTGATAAGAATGTTGTTTACTGGTCCAGTGGTGAGGATTTCTGTTTTCTTTACATTGAGATGCAATCCATACATACCGAAGGCCGTTCTCTTTGATTTTCATCAGTAAGTAGTGTAAGTCCTCTTCACTTTCAGCAAGCAAGGTTGTATCATCTGTATATTGCAGGTTGTTAATGACCCATTGCGTCTTTGTATAGGGTTTCCGACGAGCAGCTGGTGAGCCTGAACCACTGACTTTGTGGTTCAAACCAACTTTGCAACCCAGTGCATTAACCCACGTTGCCACCCCAGGACTCCAGACCATATACAATAGCACTAAGAACAGTGCTTAGTTACAAATCAAACAAAATGTGCACAAAATCTGTATGTTAAAAACAGCAAAACACCAGCGAGAAAGTAAAGACCTACAATAATGAGTGATACGGAAGGCAAAATTCAATACAGTGGAGAGATCAAGTGTCCCCAGTGTCAATACAATCCCAATCAAAATCCAACAGGATTTGTTCTAGAAATTGACAAGCTGATTCCAAAGTGAGTTGTAGCAGCAAGTAGTCTAGAAAAACCAATTTTTACGAAGAATAAACTGTACAGCTCACGTGATCCCACCTTAAAGACTCTAATCAGGTTGAAACGCACAGCGAGACGTTGTTAGTTAAACTCACACCCAAAGACAAGTAAGCCAAAGAGAAAGTTCCTCATGCGAACGTGGGGTTTACAACGGGAAGGGACGCTACTCAGGAGGTGTCAGTTATCCATAGAGGAAGTGGGTTCCCAGCACCCCCCCAGGGGAGCCAGAGCAGAAGGTAACAGCCGCTCAGTGACCCCCTTTCCTAGGCATGGATGGGAGCAGCCCCACTGGGTGGTGGACTCACCTTCTCCTCAGCCAGGTGCAGCAGCTGCTTCTTGGCTTTCTCTACATCTGAGGAGGGCCCTCTGATAACAACCGTGTCGCTTCCAGAACCTTCCACGGGAAAGTGGATGTGGACCCCGCCACACTCCTCCATGATGGAGCGGATTAGGCGGCCTTTGGTGCCAATGAGGGAGTTGTGCAGCTTGGCCGGAATCGAGACCTCCACCTCAGCAATGTTGGCCTAGGGGCAAGCATACAGTGGAGCTGAGAAGGCTGCAGGGGATGCGGTCAGTGCTAGGTCACCACAAGAGGACAATGTCCAGCAGGGTCGCTGCGCAGAGTCGTAACTAGAACCCAGAAAGCACACTCCGCTGCCTATAAACCTGTGGCTCACAGGCAAACGCTTCCGGGTGACACCTTGCCATGACAGCGAGAATTCTGTTTCCAGCAAGATGAAACAACAGGGAACAGGTTTACCCTCCCACCTGGAACAACTCATGAAAAAGAGCCTGTGGGAAACATGAGACAGGAAACCAACCAGGTGAGCCTGAGGGAGCTAGGGGGTTCAGGAGAGCCGGCAGGTCAGGAACCCAAGGGTAGAGACTAGATGAGAGAGTGCTCTGGGGACCTGGAGATGGTGCCTGCCTCCATCAGTCACACTGGACAGACCCAGGGATGTCAGGAAGGCCCTGGACTAAATACTGCTTTGACCCCACCCACCAGGTCTTTAAAAGAAGAATCCCAGAAGGAGCAAACGGTTTCCAGCTAACGTAATGAAGTTCAAAATATTTACAGAAATACTACAACATCTATCATCCATCAAAATAAATCCCATAATGTCTGGACTGTAATCTAAAATTTCTAGACAAACAAGAAAAAATAACTCATAATGAGGGAAGTTAAAACCCAGGAATCCATCAACTGGAAACCCAGAAATGACAGGGATGGTTAGAATGAACAGATAACACCAGAACCGTTATTTGTACTACACTACATATGGTCAAAAAGTTAAAGATTGAGCATGTTAAGTAAAAACCGAACTCCTAGAGAGAATACAATGTCTGAGATGAACCACACAAGATGAGATGAAAGATTAGATACAGCAGAAAAGGGATGAACTTCTAGCCCCCTCCCCCCAAGTAAACAGAGCACCACCAGTGACCTGGGGGACACCAGCGGCTGGCCTGCTAGATGTGAAGCCGAGGAAGAGGAGATGAAAGGTTAACAACAAAAAAACGTGAAACAATGACCAACAAATGTGCAAAGTGGTTATGAAAACTCTAAACCCTACATATCCAAGCAGCTCAGTGAACCACAAGCAAAGAAACATGAAACCTCACCAAGAAACATAACCTACTCCAACTCAATGATAAAATCCGACTCCTAATCAGAAACTATAAGGAGCTCTGGTAGCGTAGTGGTTACGAATTGGGCTGCGAACCTTAAGGTCAGCGGTTCGAAACTACCAGCCGCTCCGCGGGAGAAAGATGAGGCTTTCTACTCCCGTAAAGATTTACACCCTTGGAAACCCTGTACAGGGTCGCTATGGGTTGGAACCGACTCGACGGCACTTAACAACAACAACAATCAGAAACTGTACAGGCAAAAAGACAATGAAGGAAAACATTAAATACCGAAAGAAGCAAAAGTGTATTGCCAACCTAGCAGCAAAAAGTCTTCTAAAACTGAAGGTAAAGTAAAAATTCAGACACATAAAAACAATTCACCAACAGAGTTACACTACGTGATGCTAAAGTAGCTACACTTCAAGGAAGAGCTCTGGAAAGAGTTAAGTCCAAGTGCTTTAAAGTCACTCGAGGTAAACTGTGTGAGCTGCACTGCAAACCCGAAGGCAACCAACCAACCGAGAAGGGAAAAAGCTGTACAGACATTCGTCCAAAAGGCAGAACCAGAGCGACATGGGAAGAGCAAGCAGATGGGACAAGTAGAAAACAAAGGGCAAGGAGGCAGACCATAAAAGTAACCATGTTCTATGTAAAGGGTCTAATACACCAATCCTAAAGGACAAGATTGTCAGGTTGAATAAAAAAGGTCCTTTTATGATAAAGGGATCAATCATTTCATCAAGAGAATATAACAAATATCCTAAATATCTGGATACTAAGAACAGAGATTCAGTAAAAGCAGAGTAGTAAACAAATCACTTATTATAACTGGAGGTTTCTCACTAATTAATAGAACACGCAGAAAAGAAATCTCATTTAACAGGAGCCAAGCTAAGCTAAGTGCAGTCAGAGTGCTCCTGGGAGGTCAGGAGGGACCTGGAGAAGGGCATCATGTTTGGTAAGGTGGAGGGTCAGAGAAAAAAAGGAAAAACCCCAGCAAGATGGATTGGCCAAGTGGCAGCGTCAATAGGTTCAAGAGTGACAACAATTGTGAGGTTTGTCCAGGACTGGGCAGTGTTTCCTTCTGTTGTGCACAGGGTCATTACAAGTCGTTACCGACTCGATGGCACCTAACAATAACAAGTGGCAAACACAAGACTGATTAGTTAGCATGACCTGGATGTGTCCATCCAACTGGCTTTGTAGAACTGAACTTAGGCTACAATTCTAGATGCAGTTAGAGATCTGACACTAGGAAAACTCATCCCGGCTTCCAGGCTCTCCATGACATGCAGCCACCATTACCAGGTCTTTCTGAATAGACAGAATCCGGCTCCGGGCAGCCTCACAGTTTGCCCGCTTGCCTGTGATGATAATCGTCTCAGAGTTGCTATTTTCGGCTGGAAGGTCAATCTTGGTGTTACTTTCTTCACGAATCTGTAAGGAGAGAGGGGGATCATGAGAAGTCGACTTCCCATAATTGAGACATTAGGAGAGCAGGGCTGGATGTTGCAGGGAACACGCTGGTCACCTTTTTAATGTTTGCACCTCCTTTCCCAATGATGTTCTTGTGAAACTGTTTGAAGATTGGGACAGAAATGGAATAGCTATTTTCCACCTGAAAAAGAAACAAGAAAAGGGTGAGCTAAGTAACCACTGACGTGGCATAGTGACATACACCCTACTAACCCGGGCACCCGAGTCCTGGGGTGGCGCTGTGTTAATGCACCAGACTGCAAAGTTGGTGGTGCAAGCTCACCAGCTGCTCCTCGGAAACCCTATACAGGGTCACTAGGCGGCGGAACCGACTTGACAACACTTCACCACCCGGGAACCAGCGTGAAGACAACACGGTGGCTGCTATACGGTATATAAAGCACGAAACTCTAACTGCACCTGAACCCCAAACCCTCCCTTTTATACGAGAACTTTTCTATGTGCAGATTTTCCCAGGTGAGCTGTTTTCTGGGTTCCCTATTTTCTTGTCAACGTTTACGACAGTGGCCTTTTCTCATGTGTGGTGTGTTTTTTCCTGGTTCGGCTGGCAAGCGTGATCTCAGGTCCCACATTCCCTCCGCACCCCACAGACCTTCAGAATCTGTCATGGGGATAGGTGTGGCAACCTTCCCAACGACTCACAGCATCTGGCATGTCCCCGCTCAATTGGCTCAAAGCCCCCTTTGATAAAACTGGCAGAGAATACACCGTGCACACCTTCAATCACGAGAAGCAAGCTCTACTGGCCGTCAGCCATCGAGTCCAGCCAGGAGCCCTCCGCACACTAGCTAAGTGGACTCGCAGGATGGCTGCTAGCCCCCCAAGGCTGCAGAGCAGCAGGGAGGGAGCTTAGTGGAGAGATCGGGGACCTGACTTGGAGTTACGGGTGGGAAGGACAGGGCTGCCAGCCACCTTGAGTCACTCTTAAACCTTTTCCCCCACCCACGTGGGTTCTGAGGACTCTCACAAATCTGTTAACTGACACTCTCCTTTACAGTTTCTGACCTCTCCCCTTATTGGACAGGAGTCTTCAAGTCTAAGTAGCTGAAGACCCCTGGGCAAAGGCACCTGGTGGGTCCTCCAACTGAAATGGCAGAATGGAGGCTCCAAGGACAGAGAGTGGAGAATTCTGAAGGGACACCTCTGCCTGCCCCAAACACCGTCCCGTGATAAGAGGTGTAGAGTGTCTTCCTACCAGATCTGCCACCATCTTCTGCATGTATTTTGTGCATTTTTCCACCTCATTCTTGGGTCCTCTGAGTTGGACGATGTCACTTTTTTGTGCTGGGTCTGGAAAGTTGATGATAACCTAAAACAAACCAGCGAGGCTGCGTTACCAGGGTACCAAATGCTCATCACATCTCTCCCAAGGGCTACAAGGTGCCACTGTGAACAGTTACCTCTGGAAATTTGTCCCGGATTTCACGGATCCGTTCCCCCTTCTGCCCAATGATTGTGCGATGAAATCTCTGTTCAATGATTAAGTCCTTTGTACGCTCGTTTTCCTGAAAGTACAAAGGAAGGAAGGAAGATGATCCACTGTGAAAGGAAAGGTACGCAGCGCCCCCCTCACCCCGGCCGGCTGACTCAAGTGCCACTGGGAAGCCCGGGGCTGAGCCAGGCCACTCAGGAGCCCCCACGACAAGACACCTGTCCTCTCCAACAACCCTTCCTTGTGGGGAGAGCTCAGAGGAGCCTGAACCTAGGGGGCTCTCCAGAGCCTCTGGCATTTTAGCATGTTCGGAGCCCTCCAGGGAGAATACAGAAGACAAAGAGCTGGGCCCTGGAAGAATGTATCAGCCAACCAAATAGTTTCAAGAACTCTGAAACTGTGGATTGGACTGACCGGGAAGAGGGTTCAGAAAGCACTGACTGTAAATGGGCACCAGACGCTGTAGGGCAGTGGACTTGGAGAGCAGTGGCATGGGGTGGGGGGTGGCGATGAGCGCACAGAACTCCAAGGAGGCTGAGCAAGGCTGACCACCACTTCTGAGATGTGTCGACAGAGCAGGGCAGGGCCTGCTCCCACACCAGGGGTGCCAGGGAAAGCTGGTGTCAAGCGGCCAGCCCTGTACCTAGAACATGCTGTCTTGTGCATGTGGAAGGCAGGCCTGCTCAGCCCGGCCCCACCATGGGCCCTCACCATGCGCGAGGCGAGCTCCAGCAGTTCCCGCTTGGCCTGCTGTACACCCTGTGGGTCCCCCTCAATGCGGATCAGGTCGCTCTTCTCACTGTCAGGGGGGATGCGCACAGACACCTTGTACTGGTCTTTGATTCTGTTTACTGGAGAACAAGAGGGGAAAGTGTCTCAGCCCACACCCCACACAGTCTACGCAGAGGAGTCCCGCCACCCCATGTGCTGATCCAGCCTCAGAAGCAGGAGAAGTAACTGTGTGTCTCAACTCCACATCCTCCAAGGCCCCAAGAACTTGCCCCAGGGGAAGAGGGAAGTGGCCCCCGCAGTGGGTAGACAAGTGCCCTGGTCAGTACTGTGGTGGTTTCCCTTCCGCGGATAAGGAGAGCCTCATGTGGGTTGGTCACACCCCGAGACATCTTGCTCTCCGGACTGAGCTCACTCACTGTTGGATCCACTCTTGCCAATGAGGTGTCTGTGGAACTTGTGGTCGACACTGATCTCCACGTAGTCCATCCGGTTAATCTGCAGGAAGCACACTGGGCATGTCAGTGGGGACAGTGCTGTGGCCACAGGGACTGAAGTCTGGCAGCTGGCCGCTGCTGCCTTTCTAAAACCGTGTTGCAAAACCCCCAGCTCAGAACGGAGTTGCCTGGACGCAGGGCTCTTCCAGGGATGGTCAGCATCTAGCCGAGAGCCTGCTACCGGTGCCACTGCCGGTCTGCCGCCCCTCCAACTGCAGAGCCTGTGCCCCCTGCCTGCCCAACATCCCACGTCCCCTGCAACTCACCAAGTCCTTGACCATGGTCTCAATCTGGCCCTGGGCCACATTCACGTCCTCTGTGGGGCCTTCCAGAGTGATCTTGTCCTCACCCTCAGTGAACTCAATGTGGACCTGCCCATCACCAACAATAAAGGAGGGTGGGTAAGGTTGGGGGTAGTGAGGGGGCCTCTCCATGTGCCTGCAGACACATTGTCCTCCTGGCCTGACTGCACACCCTTCTAGGAACAGTGCACCCACGTCCGGGGGGAAGAAGCTGCCCCATGGGCAGCCGTGTCTGAACCAAGAACACGAAGGCAGTGACTGAAGTCACCAGGATGAAGTCTGAACACAATGGGAGCTGCTGCCTTTGAAGGCCAGAGAACCAGCGGACAGAAAATGCCTAGGAGTCCTGGTGTGGCACTGGACATAAGCACCGGATCACAAGGTCGTGTTGAACTGCTCCTCAGAAACCCTATACAGGGTCACTGTTAGTTGCAACCAACTCAACTGCACGTAACATCAACAACACACAACTCTAAACTAGCTGCTGCTCCTCAGAAGTTACCAATGGAACCACTGTTGTTAAGTGTCTTTGACTGGGTTCCTATATAGGGTTTCCAAAGAGCAGCTGGTGGGTTTGAACTGCCAACCTTGCAGTTAGTCGTCCAGTGCTGACCCTACAGCGCCACCCCAGGTCTCCAATAGGACTCTGTTGTTGGTAAGTGCCGTCGAGTCGGTTCTGACTGTATATAGGGTTTCTAAGGAGCGACTGGGGAGCCTGAACCACCGGCCCTGCAGTCCAGCGCATCAGCACGCGGCACCACATCCACAGGACTAGTATATAAAGTTATCACACCGTAGTTACTGACTGTGGTATTTCTTTAGGTGTTTACTAAACCTAGTGACCACACTCTCTCCTTGGTGACAAAGGACCAAAGAGCTTCTGCTCTTCTTCCATCCCGAGTGACGCTGAGGCACTGAGTGTGCCCACAGGGCAAGGAGACAGAGGCAGGAGATGGGTGTGAGAGCGGAGAAGGCACACGGGAGCTACGTTCCTTGCCTTTGGCATCTGCTGTGTGATCTTGGCCAGATTCTGCCCTTTCTTGCCGATGATGAAGCGGTGCAGCCAGGAGGGGGCAGACACAGAGGACACGGTGAAGCTGTTGGCCTGGAGAGACGGAAAAAAGCAAGTGGGTTTGCCGAGCGGGAGCCAGGCCCTGCCCAGGGCTCCTCGGGCTCTCAGCGAAGGACAGTCACCTTTGCATAGACCTCGGTCAGTGCCTGCCCCAGCTTCTCGGGCTCGCCGCGCAGGATCACAGTCTCAGAGACGCTGTCTGAGGGCGGGATCTCCACAGACACCCCGGTCCTCTCTAGAATCTCCTGCAGGGAGTTGCCCTTTGGCCCGATGACATACTTGTGTTGTGACTTCTTCACCTCCACTGCAATGGTGGTGGTCTTCTTCTTCTACAGGAGGGAGTGGAGAGCAGAGATGGTCAGCAGAGGGGAGCCGGGGCTGACGGGCAGCCCTCCAGCCTCCCCAGCCCCATGGCTGCTCGCACCTTTTCCTCATAAATCTTCTTGATGCGTGCCACCGCCTGTGCCAGCTGCTCCTTCTCCCCGGTGAACACGATCTCAGAGCGGCTGACGCTAGGGGGCGGGATGTTGATGCGGGTGCCCGTCTCCTGCATGATCTCACCCACAAGCCGATTATAGGGCCCGGCGATGAAGGGGTGGAAGGCCTTCTCCACTTCCAGCCTCTCCACAGCACGTTTGTCCTGGAAGAGCAGCAGAGCATGAGCCGTGTGCCCACCCTCACCTGTCTGTCAGCCAGCCGGCAGCTGGGGCGCACCTGCTCAGCAGAGATGAGGAGGACCTCGTGGCGAGCCTTCTCGATGCCCTCTTTGGTGCCAGTGATCTTGATCTGATTGCTCGGGTCATCGGGGCGTGGGATCTGGATTTTGGTTGCAGTTTTTAGCTCCAGATCTTGCAGTTTCTCTCCGTTTTTGCCAATCACAAAGCGATGATGCTCTTTGGGAATAGGAACAGTTGCAGAGGCCTGCAGCAGAAGAGAACCAGAGATGTTACAGTGGGTCCAGAGGAAGCCCATGTTTCCTGCACACGGAGATGTGCTCTCTGGCTAGAATGCTGACCTTAGGCTAGGGGACGCTCTCGGTGACACCCCCCATGGGCTCCAGTGATGGAATGATCTAGGGTACTCTTATCCAATGTCTTCCCAAAGTGGCTCCATGCACCCAGAGAGCAGGCCCCCTCATGGACACCACCATGAGACATGGCGCCCACGTTTGTTTCTAAAGCACTAAGCTGTCTTTTCAGACCCAGAGGCCTTGTCAAGCCATGAACAAACTCACCCTCTACTCTGTCAGCTGAAGTAGGCAAATCAGAGGAAAATGAAACATTCCAAACCCCGTTTTCATTAGGCTGAGAAAAAGAGGCCTCCGAGGATCAGGGCCCAAGTGGGAGGGCAGAGCCCCAAGGACTTCCTGGGTTTTACAGAAAGCAGGGCCACCGAAGAGGGTGAAAGGGGAAAGGTTTCCCCATCCATCCCCACAAGTTGGCCTCCCCCAACCTCCAGCTACACAGCAGGAACGTGCTCCCAGTAACGACACAGGACCTTCTGGAAAAGCTACAGTGTAACTCGGGGCAGAAGGGCTATGAGTAAAACAGCCACAGACCGAGCCCAGTCCCACACGATGGTCCTGTGAGGCGTCTCCAAAGTGGAGTATCCAGAAACCCATTCACATGGCTCATCGGGCTGATCCCAGGAGAAAACCCCAAACATCACCTCCCATAAAACTCAAATCCATTAGTGAAAACAATTCCAAGAAAAACAGGAACCAGTGAATAGGAACCGGGCGAGCTGTGGTGTGAGGGGCACAGCAAACAGGGGAAGTGCTGCTCTCTGCATGTACAGGTCACCTGGCTGTGTACCTGGGACCCCAGGCCCAGGCGAGTCCCAGAGACAAAACCCAGCGGCAATGCACACAACCAACCGGCCGAAAACTGAAAAGAAGGCCAATCAGTAGCGCACCAATGAAAAAAAGACAAGGTAAATGTAGAGGAAGTCCAACCAAAATGCAGTGATGTGTGTATTAGAAATTAGAAAACACATCCCCTTCAAAGCTCTGAGGTTGCTGTTGTGAGGAGCCACTGAGTTGGTTCCGACTCACAGTGACCCTGTGCAGGGTTTCTGAGGAGCGGCTGGTGAGGACTTAAATCAGAGATGCCAGGTCTCCCAATATCAAGTTTTAGAAACACATACAACTTCAACGAGAATACTGATTGTAAACTTTGTATGACAGAATAAGTATGAAGTAAACAGCCAGGAAAACTTGGACACAGAACACTCAGGAGGAGGGAGTGGGTGGAGGTGACATGGACATGAAAACACAAACTGAAACCATAGAATTAAAGCAGTAACCGAAAACTCAGCCACAGACCCAAGTTACTAGGAAAACGTAGACGGTAAAACCCACATTGCCAATCGCTGGGGGAAAAAACCTATCTTCCAGAAACAGTATTGTCAGTTCACTTAGATGGAAAAGAAGGACCAGGATGTGTACCTCACACCATTCACAGTGAATTCCAAACCGACCAGGAACTGAAGCCACAATTACCCTTACAAACAAGTGTCAGAAGAAACTGTGGTGGCCTTGTCTGTAAACCTGCGAGTGGAAAGGAACTTTGCTAGCAATGATGCAAAAGAACAAAAGACAAGTAAGTTACAGTATTCAATAAGAAAGCTTTCACAGAGCAAACCATACATTGAAGCGAGCAAGACTAACACACAAAGGACAAACGGGCAAACACTTCTGAAATTTCCATCACCCACGAAGGCTTCTGTAAGTCTTAATACACTAATGTCCGAAAAACAGGAGACAAACCAACAGGTAATAGGTGTGTGGGAGCTTCCAAAAGTTTATGGAGAAACGGAATTAAAGTGACTGGAAAATTTCTTCAACATTTTAAAGTCCCCCACCCCCTTGTATGAACAGACACTTCACACACAAGAAAGAGGCTCTGACAAAAGGTGACCTCCCTGTCGGGCTGCCAAGGAGCCTGCAGGGCTGCGGGGCCCAGCTATGGCCAGAAGAGGGCACACTGACACCACCCGAGACAGGAAGTGGAGGCACACGCAGAAAGCCTCTAAGGTGACCCCCCTGCCCAGGCCAGCTCTCTTGTAGGAATCTGTGCTGTGACAGGTTTCCTAAGAGTACAGGGCTGGGAACCACCCACCTGCCCGTAGAGAGAGGAGAGCTTGAGTAATCCCAGCATTCCCTGAGTAGGACGCAGCAGCAGAAAGAATGAGGACACACACACCCCTCCAGAAAACACAGGGCACCAGAGCAAGGGCAGGACAGGGCCACAACAAGTTGGCCTTGCAACTACTCCCAACACCAACAAGTGGAAGGAAGGGCAGAGGAGGCACCTGAATAGAGCTCTGACCTTGCAATCAAACAAATGAGAACGGAACCTCACTGTACAAGGAGCCTTCAAAGAATCCGTGCAGAAATGGAACGGAGAGAGAATGCAATCTTCCCAGGAGCATTCTGAAGTCACCCAAGCCCAGGACAGTGAACAGCTCTGACTGGACTTTAGAACTCTTATCATGCACTGAGAACTGCTGTGACAATCGGAATGGTCTGCAAACGACCACAGGTACAGTGTAATGTCATCATGATGCAGACATCGCTAGGACTGGAGACTTCCACGAGAAACCAGGGGCGGCAGGCAGCCCCCGCGATCACTTGTTAGCTGGGAGCAGTCTGCCCACCTGCTGACTCACTCCTAGAAGCCTGCGACCTGGCTCCCTCTGATGGACGCCATGAGCTTCCAGACTGGTCTGTTAGTACAGTTGCCAGAGGGCCAGAGTTCCAGGACTCTGAGCAGACTCTAGGCTGTGAAGGAAATGTGTTTCATCAGCCCAGACGCGCTTCTTGAGGACGGCGGGCCACCTGCCAGGGCCCAAGGAAAGCCTGAGAGGAGGAGTCAGAGAGCATTCTGGACCCTGCTGGTCATCAGGTTACCCTCGACACAGGCCAAGGAAGGGCTCCCTATTACCCTGCATCTGACCAAGGACAGCTCTGCTTTACAGCACCAACGAATGGAGAAGTGACCGATGAGCGGAGTAGGTCCCAATCACCAAGCCCGCACCCCGTGCAGCCAACTGCAGTTCACAGCGCCCCAGAAGGACACAGGGAACTGTTCCTTAGGGTGTCAGAGACTACACCTGGCAGACGCAGGCAGCCAACGCAGCCGGCACCCCCATGGTGTCTCCTCGCACAACGGCCAACTGAACACCAAGTGTCGGGTGCAGAGCCCTAGGGTCCCCTAGGGATGGCTTTGAGACACAGGAGAGACCTCGAGACGAGGCCCATCAAATGCAGCCTGGAGGTGGGTTTGTAGAGACTGGGCTTAGTGTGAAGACAGAGCCGTCCAACCACCAAACAGCCCGCCAAGAGCAGACACAGCCGACGTCTAGTATTTCACACTATGAAGCGAGATGGGTCAGAGCTCTTCCCCAGGCTGCCCCCTGGAGGCAGCGACAGGAAAAGCACGCCAGCTACTGATGCCCCAGCTCTGCCCCCACAGACCTAGAACTGCACCAATGGGGGGGTGGGAGGTGGGGAGGGTGGGCTCCCAGGGGCCAGGGTGCCTGAGCTGTCTGTCAGAGTACCAATGGGCGAGATGCTCGGAGTCTGTCGTGGTCTAGACGTGATGCCATCAGACGAGCGCATCACAGATTCTGACAACAGCCCCAGAGACTCACCAAGAATAGAGACCAGATTATCGGGACGAAGAGGTGCTTCAAACCTCCCCCAGGAAGGCCCGTCTGAACTGACCTGCTGCTTGTCACATGCTCACCCACGTGCCCCACTCGCCTCACCTCAATGGGCTGGCTTGGCAAGGTCCTTTGTCCCCACCATCAGAGAGCATCCGAGGTGCCTGGTCCAGGACCACTCAGAGCTCACAGGACACCCACCTGAGTCTGTAGTCTGGCAACAATGTCCTTGCGGGCTTTCATGACGGCGTCCAGTTTCCCCGAGACCATGATCGAGAGGCCCTGGTCTTTGGCAAGGGACAGCTCCAAGTGTGCGCCTGTCCGTTGCATGATCTCGAGGCAGATCTTGGCTTGTTCACCTTCTCCGAACTGGTTCATCTCCTTATACTTCCTCTCCTCCAGGGGCACGTGGAAGACCTGTGCACGTAAGACACAGGGCAGTTAGAACAAGGAGGAGGAAGAGCTGGGAGTATGGATCAAGCCCCAGGACAAAGCCCTCACTGCACTGAGAAAATGGGACGGACAGCAGCCGGCAGCTAGCACCGGGAGGGAACTGGATGAGGCAAGACCCCAGGAGGGGCTGAGCAGACTTACAACAAGCGGCTTACAGAGATGGCAAATAGCACCTAGGAGTGAACAGTGGACGGGCAGCCCCGCCTGGACACACACTGCTGGATGGCACTGGCCGCTCTGAAAGGGACTGAGTGTGTATAGAGCCTTCAACCACCCGGTAGAAAGCAGTTTACATGACTGACAAGACACTGCACCTTGGACAGGTTACACCCACTGGGGGTGAGGTTGGAGAAACTGATCGGGGAAGTGGTTCTGAGTCAATGGTATAGGGAAGAGGGTCTGGCATGAGACCACTGAGATGACCCAACACAAGGGTTGCCGAGACAGTGCTGGAGGGCCGCAGCAGACAGGGCTCCTGAGGCCAAACACATGCAAACAGGGCACCATGGACTTCTGAAGGGCTGTGGGAGCAAGGAGTGGCCCCTGGAGGGGCCGGCGGGAAGCCCACCTGAGTGATGACAGAGGCCTTGATGGGCCGGATCTTGCTGCCCCAGGCCCCAGCTGGCTCCTGCGAGGTCTCCAGGCAGGCCGCCTTCTCGGGGAGGGGAGGGAAGGCATCCTTGTAGGTTGGAGGGTCGCTTTCCTCTTCCGAATTGAGAGCAGCAACTGGACAGGAACAGATGTCTAGGATGCTCATGGCTCATGCATGTGACAGCTTTCCCCACCGACCGTAACCTCGTGATACAGAGAGCTGGGACGATGGGACAGTGGGTCCCCGCACCCCGCACCCCAGCTTGGTGAAGAGATGCTGAGGCCCTCAAACCCCCTCTTCCTCCCCCAAACCACAAGGCAAAATCCAAGTTCCTCACATATCCACAGTGCCCTCATCATGTCTGCTACCCATCAACCAAGGGTCCTGACGAAGTAGGGTGTGATGGCGTGGTGACCCAAGCCCCCCCGGGAGGCAGCATGACCGTGGGGGACCCTGAGTCCCCAGGAAGGCAGACATAGCTGTGGGGGTCCCAAGTCCCCGGGACGCAGGCATCACCGTGAGGACCCTGAGTCCCCAGGGAGGCAGGCATAGCTGTGGGGGCCCCAAGTCCCCCGGGACACAGGCATCACTGTGAGGACCCGAGTCCCCAGGACGCAGGCATCACTGTGAGGACCCAAGTCCCCAGGGAGGCAGGCATAGCTGTGGGGGCCCCGTGGGATGCAGACATCACCGTGAGGACCCGAGTCCCCAGGGAGGCAGACATAGCTGTGGGGGGTCCCAAGTCCCCTGGGAAGCAGGCATGACCATGGGGGACCCTGAGTCCCCAGGGAGGCAGGCGTAGCTGTGGGGGTCCCGAGTCCCCAGGACGCAGGCATCACTGTGCGGACCCGAGTCCCCTGGGAGGCAGGCATAGCTGTGGGCGCCCCGAGTCCTCGGGATGCAGACATCACCGTGAGGACCTGAGTCCCCAGGGAGGCAGGCGTGACCGTGGGGGCCCCGAGTCCTCGGGATGCAGACATCACTGTGAGGACCTGAGTCCCCAGGGAGGCAGGCATAGCTGTGGAGGTCCTGAGTCCCCGGGATGCAGACATCACTGTGAGGATCCGAGTCCCCGGGGAGGCAGCCGTGACTGTGGGGGCCCCAAGTCCCCCGGGACGCACGCATCACTGTGAGAACCCGAGTCCCCAGGGAGGCAGGCGTGACCGTGGGGGCCCTAGTCCAGCACTGTCAGGCCCACCAGTAAACGGGCAGCAGCAGCACTGCTGAGCACCTCTCCTCTCCAGTGTCCGCTCCCCGTGTTTATGAATGGAGACTCGCACCCCAAAGGACTGCTGGCTTACACAACTCAACCTCTGCTGAGTGTCCCAACGACAGCCACAGGGGGTTAACTAAACACCTGAAAGGTGTTTGAATGTTACTTAGCTTTCACTTGCCATTAAGAACTGATACTCATGTAGGCATACGTGAACACCTTGGGAGAAGGGGATCTTTTCTGTTGGGCTCTCCATTTTATGACATCTAAATACACATTTCAAGGGTTTCAGATGCAAGGACCCCATCTGAGTGGAGAAGTGCTGTATGTACTTCTAACACACACAGTTTCCCAAGGAGCCTAACATCCATTGTTGTTGTTGTTACGTGCCGTCGAGTCGGTTCCGACCCATAGCAACCCTGTACAGGGTTTCCGAGGCTGTTAATCTTTACAGGAGCAGAAAGCCTCATCTTTCTCCCGCAGAGCAGCGGATAGTTTCGAACTGCTGACCTTGAGGTCCGCAGCCCGATTCGTAACCACTACGCTACCAGAGCTCCTATTACAATGATATTTTTGATATACTGGGCTAAATAAACTATATTAAAGTTAACCTCAACGGCTGTTGTTTTTTCCAACATTAGGTATTAGAAAGACTTAAAGCTACTTCTGTGGCTCCAGTCTTGTTTCTCCTAAAAGGGACGACTCTTGACCCTGGCCAGCTGCAAACGCTGGGCCTGGCCTTCAGCCCCATGGCCAGTTCCTGCATGGGCACAACCTGGTCTCAATTCAACACAACAGGAGGACAGCAGCTTTGGGCAATTACCAATGGCCAAATCGGCCAGCTCTCCACATCACTACCTACATTTCCAAACTTCCTGTGCCCACCTTCACCGACCCAGCCCGCCAGCCCTGCTCCTCCCTGACTGGAGTGCTCCCGGCCCCGCCCCACAACTGGAGGCCAGAGGTCCTTTCCAGAAGGCGGCAGGGCTGGGGGCGAAGAGCGCGCAGAGGGCTGTCACCTTTGATCTGTTGCGGAACCAGCCCACTCCGGTGCTCGGCAAAGCTCTCCTGGGTCAAAACTGCAACAGAGCTCATCGTTGGTTGCACACCTACACACAGTCCGGGTACGTCACTGCAGCAGAAAAAAGGAGAGGAGATACCAGGGTCAGAGGGCAGGGAACACTCAGTGACCTAGGAGTCAGCTAGCCACACCTGCAAATGCTCTCAGCAAGCAATGATAGAGAAAACACAACGCAGGAGGAGGGTCTGGGTCACCCAGGCCTCACAGTGTCGCCGAGACTAAACCTTGCACCTCGCCCAGGCATGGAGCAGCGTCCGCACGACCTCGCTGCTCACAGTTCTAGACTCGACAATCTAAAGGCCCGGGCAGCAACAGTGCTGTGTTCTGGCCACCTCGTACAGCCAAGCCCAGCTGTCCCTCAGGCTCAGCCTGAGAGCCGTGGTGCTGTGTCTGGAACAGAGTCCTCGCTCGCGTCACCAAACAGCTGGGGTGATGAAGTCTGCTCCATCAGGACCACCCTGCCAGCGCGGTTGCCCACACTCACATATAAAGGGTGAAACTCCCCATTTCTGCCACATCCAGCCCCTCCCCCTCAGTGCAGGAGGGCTGCAGACACGACATTCAAACTCACCAGCAAAACGGTCAGTAGCCAGAGAGTCCGTCCTGAGGCACCTGTCAGCCTGCCAGCTTTTGCTGGTGTAGGGCAGGGACAAGAGAATCAGACAAGAGTTACTGAGGGCCATTTTATGCCCAAGCCCCCTTCCCTCCCTGGTCAGCAAAGGGCGAAATACTATTGCCATGTCTAGTCCCAGGCCCAGCACTGAGGCAAGGGTCTGGGGAGGTGGGGGTGGGGGTGGGGGTGTGGATGTGTGTGTGCGCGCGCGTGTGTGATGCTCAAGCCATCAGCTTCCAACCAGAAGCATCTAGAGTTTCAGAAGACAGCTTTTCAGGTAGCGGAGGGGGTGACCATTTGGTGGTTGGTGCCCTTTCCGCTTGTGCGATGTCTTTGGACAGCAGAGTCGGGGTGGACACAGGAGAGAAGGCTCTCCCGTGTTGCTAGAGTCCCCCGCTTCCTTCTAACCAACCGGGGACTCAGAAACCACACCTCGGCATCATAGTGGGGAGGGGACCCGCAAAGTACCAAGCACTAGCTGCTCTGTGACGTAAGCGTGTGGACCACCTCAGCTGGTATAGACCCCAAACTCTGTCTATACTGGGAGTTCATATGGTCTTTTGTAAAGTGCACCCCTCCTTCCTTGCCTATCAGCTTCGTGTGCTGTGTTGTATGTGTGGACACACTACATGAGAAAATACGGGCATAAGAGGTTTCAGGGCCCAGGAAAGGCACATAGTTGAAATGTCAGAACCAACAGTTGGAGAGCAGCCTTCCAACAAAGCTGTCGGTAAGACAAGGTTCAGGAGAAGGTTCTGTGTGGCATTCCTGCGGGTTGACCCCCATCTCACAGGAACCACGTGCCACTCTGAGGCTGATGGGACGGTGAGGACAAGAGCAACTCCTACAAACCCCAGAAGGTGAGCTTACCAGTCAGGTGAGGCCCACTGGTCCAGCCCTTCCACCCGCCCTCCTCCTGCACCTCCACCCACCTGCCTCTGAAAGCCCACTGACACCCCCACCTGCAAACTCCAGACCAGTTTGGTCCACATAAAACTTGCTCCCTTTAGGCCTCCACAAGCCTGGAGCAGGCCGCAGCTCTTGTCCCACACTGCCCGCCCCCAACACCTTCTGGAGATCATTCGAACAAGCCACAGGTAAAGCCACTTGGCCCAAGTGCCTTAAGGATAGGGCCTCAGCACACCTGCATTCCTGTAACATCCAACAAGGAAGAGCTGGGCCAAGCCTGTCTACTCTCCTCGCCCACGTGGGCAGCAGGAATGGGCAGGGAGAGTGGACCTCAGAAGGTAGCACACTGGTTTGACAGGAAGCACAGCCTCAGAGTCTCCATTCCCAACAGCACTCTTTCAGAATTAGCAACTCAAGGAACCCAGAGAGACAGTTTGGAAATTTAGGTTCTATGCCATCAAACAAGTAATTCAAAATCCATCTGTAAGATTTTGGCAGTCTGTGGTGCCCCTGGGCACCGGAGCAAGTCTCTATAAAAGGCCCTCGTTTCAGCCCTGCCATCGCTCCCAGTCAAAGCCTCTGGCTCCCCGTCTGCAGCAGCCATAGTACCACTTGGACATGCCTTCCACTCAGTTTTCTCACCTGCTACCTGAAGCTCCCAGGAGGCCCAGGGTAAGCCAATTACCAGCTACCAGCTGCCCTGTGTTTGCTCCTCGGCTTCTCACAGGAGCTGAGAAAACTGCCCAAGTCAGAGTGAAGGGCCTCAGCCACAACTCTCCCAGAGTCTTTGAACACCAGCGAGACAGGAACCCATGGCTTCCGCAGCCCCTCCCCCCCCAACTCCCCCCAAGTTTCGCCCAAACCTGCCACTTCTTTCCCCCTGCTGGCCGAAGAGCACAAGACCAACTCCTCCTTGCTCTCCACGGCCTCCTTCATCTGTCCCAGGACCATCCAGGTCCCCCCAGCTAGGGCTGCTCCAAACATCTTAGCCAGAGCGGGCTGTTGGCATTCAGGACCATCGATGTGCATTTCTCCAGCTCGACTTCAGATGTGTGGTGCTGGAGTTATGATAAGCACTCGACCACAAGGCTGGTGGTTCAAACTCACTAGTCACTCCTCAGAAACCCTATACAAGGTTACGAGACGTCAGAATCAACTCGATGGCACTTAACAAGAGTGTGATGGTATGGTACGAACAAATGTCTGACCTGGTACAACAAGCGAGCACCACTTTGCAACCAGCACCAAGACATTAAAGATGTCTAAGCAAATCTGAAAGTGTTTCATGCCTAGAAGAGTACACTACATACTACATACAAAGAAAACCAGAAGACGTGACGTTACATAGTCACTGTGCCTAACTGTGCCGACTATGTAAGCATTCATCTTGAAGACACCTCAGGAAGGAAACCAACTGGTTCATCATCTTGGAAAGGCCTGCATACAGCAAGGAACTACAGCTAAGGAAGAATAGCTCTCCCACCTACAGTAGCTGTCCAAGTGGTGCCCTAAAGAAGTTGGTAATGCGGGTGTTGTACATTTTTGCTTCTAAAAAAGGAATTTTAGTGGATTAGTTTTGCCAGTTACCTTTCAGAAGGAAAGGTCTCTGCAAAGAGAGACAGGGACCATCAGTACATCTCTAGGATTTTATTTTAGTCTTCAATTGAGAAATCTCAGTGCTTTGTACAGAAGGCAGGACTGGGCCCAACTTCTCCCCTTCTTCTCTTTCAAAGTTACAACTTGAATCCCACTGCCAGGCTGGGAAGGAAATTGTCTTCAAAGCACTCAGAATACCCACAGCCTTCGGAAAAAAATCCAAACCCACACAAAATTGCCTTCTATTCTCTCTACAGTAGGTGCGAGCAGGACTTGGGCCATCCTGGAAGTCAGCACCCAGCCTGCCACCTCAGCAGGACCCTCCCACAGGCCACGAGAGCCACAGGGGCGGGGGACTGGCTTAAAGGCACAGTACCCAATGGGCTCATCCAGCCTTTCATCCAAATTCGGTATTTTTCCGTAATGCACTTTTCATCCGCTAACCTGGGGTCTGTCCAAGTTGTACTCCAGTCCAAGAAGGCCACCGTCCCCGCACCCCTACAGTCCCAGCAGAGATGCGTGCAGCAAATGGGGGTGCAGGATAAGTCCCCTAGTCTGCAGGCCCCTTCTCCTTAGGTTTTCTGAGGCAAGGCTGCGCCCGTGGGTTTCCCCGGTAGGGGATGAGACGGGCCTACGCCGACCTCACCTACAAGCCACCACCGCAGACTACGACTGCGGCTGGGCCGGCAGAGGGGCCTTCGGCTTCTGGAGTCTGGACTGTCCCAGACCTGGGGGCCGGAGACCGCGAGAAGTGTCCCGGTGGTGGGCTGCGGTTCGGTCCCCGGCATTCTGACCCCGCAGAGCCAGATGGCGGGGCGCACACGTGGGGTGGGGGTCGCCAAGGGGCGCAGCCAAAGACAAGGCCCCCAGACAAGTCTAGGGTGGAGAGGAGGGAACGCGGGGAGAGGCGGGGACAGCCCGGGGGGCTCCGGCCAGACGGGCCAACGTCACCGACCTGAGCTCAGGTCGGCGCCCCTCCCCCGCGGCAGCACGGCGACCTCCTGGCCGAGGACGGTGCGTCCCCAGCAGTGAGGGCGCGGGCGGCCCGCGGGGCGCCGAGTTAGGAAAGTTTCTTGCACTTTTCCTCCAGGCAGCGCTGCGGCCCATGCGCAGTAGTGACACGTAGCCGGTACACCCTCCCCACCCCCGCCCGAGACGGGACGC